GGTGTTTTTATGTGTGTGTGTGTGTGTGTGTGTGTGTGTGTGTGTGTGTGTGTGTGTGTGTGTGTGTGTGTGTGTGTGTGTGTGTGTGTGTGTCAGTGCTGTCGTGTGGAGGCAACAGCACGTACACATCGTGCATGTCTCCGTGCCCGGCCTCCTGCGCCGACCTGGCAGCACCGTCCGAGTGCGACGCCACCTCCTGCGTGGAGGGATGCCAGTGCGCTCCCGGCTTCGTCATGAGCGAGGGCGGCTGCGTGCCGTACGCGCAGTGCGGCTGCAGCTTCCTCAACAGATACTACCCGGTCAGTACTTCACGCTGATCACGTTCTTCTGGATTTTCTTTTTGTAATATTGGATTGACTTGGAATACCAACTTTTGAAAACACATCGGCGGGTGCCTTGAGATTGAGATGAATTAATTCTGTACCGGGCTCCTCTTTCCGCATTGGAAGGATTTTATTTATTTATTTGCTGCTGTTCAATCAATATTGTGCTGCTCCTGGTATGCAAGCCTTGGCCACCAGGCAGCAGTATAATACAGACATATGGATAGATACAATTGCTCACTAAGCCTCAGTCGTTTTACCAGGTAGTTGGTCCTCACGGAGGATAAAGAATATAGCCCTTTGTGTATTTTTGTATCATCTGTCTTGAGCAATATAAAACCATGACTCGGGTGCGCCTTAGGTCACTCGTATCCGAGGTACCACTGTAATGGGCTTGTTACGTTTTTTTTTTTTTTTCAATCGACACGGATGATGACGTAACGATGTAAACAATGATGTAAGAATGTGACGAGAATGCGTTTTTTGTTTTTTTTCCCTCCCCCTTCCAATGGGCGCCGTGCAGCTGAAGGAGACCTTTGTGACCGAAGACTGCGCCCAGGCCTGCGAATGCACCACCACCGGTGCCGTGTGCCAAGCCAAGAGCTGCCGGGAGGGCTACGTCTGTGCCATTTACGACTTCAGACGCGACTGTCACAGGGGTGAGTGCGTGCATATGTAGAAAATGAATAAGAGGCAGCCCGATATGAAGAAAATGTGAGAAGATTTTGTCAAAATCAGTCAGAATATGATCACAAGGACCGCCTGTATTCTACAAGATTAAGGTTGTGCATTTTGGTGAATAAAATTTGGGTTATATAATGAAAATGTATTGTAATTTGAATGCCAGGAACAAGGAAAAAAAAAAAATATATATATATATATACCGGTATATCTTTCATTTATTTAAAAACTCCAGTTGCAATGCCACTATGAATATAATAATTTTCGCAGAAATTAAAACATTCGGACAACAAAAGTCACTGTTCTATGAATAAAATTGTAAAATTTGGAGAAAAAGTTCAAAATGCAACTGCTACAGTCTGTCGCCATTTGATGTCAAAATATTTACCCTAAAAAAAGTCAACAAAAAAGTGAACTCCCAAAAACTTTTCCTGCACTTACTCGCTGCATTGTGTTTCAGCGAGTCCATGCCTCAGCAGCCCCTGTCAGAATGGAGGAACGTGTAACGACATCAACAACACGTCTTACTCGTGCACATGCGCCCCAGGCTACCAAGGCTTCAACTGCGAGGACCAGATCACGGGCGACGAGGGACTTGGTAAGAACTAATTCAAGAACGACGCAACATGGAAAGTGGACAAAAGAAAAAAAACTGAACGAGAATTACGGTCCATCATAATATTAAGACGAATACCTTTGGCGAGACAGAATTCGCATTGAAAAGAATCGTGTTGTTGCAATGAGGATTTTGACAATAGTTTCGTACGCACTACTTGTAGTTGAGAATAATGTCGAATAAAGCGAGAGTATCGTGAGAAAAGTCGTATTAGTTACAGGATAAAAGTATGTCATTTTACGGCAAGTGTAAGATAAGAATATTCTTTTTATTGTGACAAGAAGAAAAGAGAGGAATGCTAGTTGTTGTCTTTTTGTACGTTGCAATTTTTTGGGGGGGTGGTAAAAAAAATATCCAACTATGTCCTTGCAGAAACTCGCTGGATCATCCTGATTGCCGTGCTGGTGTCAGTCGCCGTCGTCGTCGTCATCGTGATCACCGTTGTGTGTGTTTGCAAAAACGTGAAGAAGTAAGTCACGTTTTATACGTATGTGTGTGTGTGTGTGTGTGTGTGTGTGTGTGTGTGTGTGTGTGTGTGTGTGTGTGTGTGTGTGTGTGTGTGTGTGTTTGTGCGTGTGCATGTGTTTCCTTTGGTTCTCTACCAATGAAAAAAATGAGAGTTGAAAAATATAATGTCAATTAAAATTTTAAATTTTAAATTCTAATATATATTCATTCAATCAAGTTATTATCAACATGCTCTGTCCTATATTGTTATATGTAAAATAAAACTGGAATTGTCTTAACTTTAACATGTAAGACACCAAATTTATTCATCTTTCTAAACTTATTTTTATTTAATGACAAACGCGATATAATCTTTTGCCAATTAAAATAATTTGTTACTTTTAGTGTCAATTACTTTGAGTCTCAAATCACTTTTCTATGAGAAAATACATGACATAATGGCTAAATAATAACGCGAATACGTCATTCAATTTATTTGAAAAAAACCTGTTTGAATGATGATAAATTTTAAATGCATGACAGTATTGTAATCTTATGTAAATATAATTTAAAATCGATTCCTTTCAAGGTGCTTACAGGCATGCATTTTATTGGGTAAGTAATTAAAAAGGGAAATTCATTTCAAACTGAATGAGAAACGGACCAACAAAATAGGTGGGTTGTGTGAGGAAGGGCATGCGGCATAAAATGATGCCATCCAAATCATGCGAGTGACTCGCGGCGGCGACCCCTAATGGGACGAGCCCAACTGGCAACATTTGTCACATTAAATCCAAGTAATGAAGTTTTTTATTTCCAGGTCAGACGTTTATGTAATTCAGAAGCTGCCATCGTCTCACACCTGGTGAGAGCACTGTGATGCGAAAAATCCATTCTTTAGATTCCCGCTCTTTCTCTAGTTATTGATTGATCTTGGATTGTTGAGTAGTATTTGAAGATGAAAATCGACAACCTGTCCCGTTCTAATGCAAATCACTCCCATTGTGTTCACAGGAAAAACAAGAGGAAAGACAACGAGCTCCGAATGTCATCAAGAAGTAAGTAGCAGCAATATTTTACTGTCTATGATATTAGTACAGGGCTTGCATTCTTTTTTTTCCTTTTTTTTAATAAACGACATAATTTAAAATGCCTAATTTTAGCATTTAATCTCTGATTAAAAAAAAAATTATCTCATAAAATCAATTACATTCATATGTAATCATTAATTTTACAATTAGGATTATTCTGGTACATCAAGTAATTTCTATTGTAACTAAAAGTCAACTTTGTTTAATACTCACATTCTGATTAGGGTCTACACACACACACACACACACACACACACACACACACAGACACACACACACACACACACACACACACACACACACACACACACACCCACAGACACACACACACACACACACACACACACACACACACACACACACACACACAGTGGTACCTGTACTTATGAAATGAATTGGTTCTGGAAGAAATTTCTTAACTAGAAAATGTTGTAAGTAGGGACACGTTTTCCATGTAAATGCCCTAATCCGTTCCATGCCCCCCCCAAAATTCAGACATAAATATTTTCTAAAGCAAAAAAATGCATCAAAATGTGTAAGAAATACATCCTCATCGTTTTTTTGCCCTCTTTAGTTCATGTTCTCTCTCAGAAGTGGTTTTTGCCTGGCGTTTTGTAAAGAACTGATCCAAGGACGTTTGCTTTTTGTTGGCTTTTAACAATCCTTCATAAATGTCCAAGGCAAACATCAGGATAGTGAGCGAGTGCCCGACTGGTGAAAACTTATGTGTGATTCACATTTACGTAAAACTATCGGAATGCCTCATCGTCCGAGGGGCGAATGACGAGGACGCTGCATAGACACATAGCTATCTATTTATCTATCTACACACATAGACACATGTGGTAGAGGTCCCTCTTAGCCAATGGGATGCCAGGAAGTTGCTCGGTAATAGCCAATGGCAGAGCAGCTATAAGTATGTTGCGTTCAGAAAACTCAGAGCTGCGAGTAGCAGGATAGATTGTATTTTTACTTTTCGTATCTTGAAATTTCTTTCGGAACAAGAGGCAATAATTTCCTGTAAGGCGTTTCGTAACACTTGAAAATTTGTATGAAGAGACGTTCGTCAGTCGAGGCACCACTGTATCACCATTTAAATGCATAGAGAGAGAGAGATGTGGATATTTTGTTTATTTCTCTTTGTAGGTGTCCCCTATGAGAACATGGATGAAAAGAAAACCAACGAGATGACAAATATGTGATATTATTTTTAATAATCATCTTTTTCTGTTCTGACGTGATTTACAATTTATTCCTCAGTACAAATGAAATATAAAGGAGTTATTTTGGTCAATTTTTTGTGTACTCCACTTTTGTGTTATTTTGTTAACTTATGCAGTCAATGTAACTGGAAACAATCTGTTTTGTTTTTGTGAATTAAATACCCACTCAAAAAAAGTTTCTTATCAAGTGCTTTCATGAACTTTTTATTTAGATGAAGGAATACTTGCCTGGGATTTGAAAATGTGTCAAAACAATAAGGATTGGGTTTCTTTTATTATACAATTTGCTGAGATGCATTTCAGAAGGAAAAAAAGTTCACGTGTTGATTCTTAAAATATATGTAAAACGAACAACAAAATTATTTGGAAATGTACATTAACGACAAGCTGTTCAAACCAAAACACTAACTTTCTGACAGTGAAGTCATAATTTTGAGAATGTATAGCCTTAGCATAAATATATGCTAAGGCTATAATTTTTAAATAGTCTCAAGAGAAAAACAAATCTGAATTAATGACAATGTTGCAAATATGAAAATAAAGTCGGAATATTGCCTGAAACAAAGCACAACTTTTAAGAGGAAATTTTACAGAATTTACAAAAATAGTTGCAATTTACCCAGAATATAAAATCCCATGAGGCAAAAAAGTCAGTATTTTCCTGTAAATTTTTGGAAGCAGAAATATGTAAACATTAAGATAATAAAATTCGAACATTATGACAAAAATATGTCTGTAAGCATGTGCTAAGTTCAGTGTCTCAAGCATTGAAATGAGCAGAACAAACAAAAATAAATATTTGCAAAATAACTCCAATAAATAGTAATTCAAATACAGCCAGTGTAAAGACTTCAATTTGGTTGACATATCCCATTCTATCACATAAAACATCTTGCAATGGTCCACAGACGTCAATTGATTGTGAATGGTCGTTTGTCTATACCGCATGTGCCCTGAGATTTCTGGCAACCAATCAAGCAATATTGACCCTTGGATGAGACAATATTGACCCTTGTCGCAAGGGTGGAGGTTGTTTATCATTTCTAATTTAACCCAATGAGGACAAGCGCAATCGAAAATGGATGAATTTTTTTTTTTTTTTTTTAGTCAAATGGCCACCAGTGTAGCAGAAACACTTGCCTGAGTGAAAATCGCGCATCTTTAGCTGCTGATGTGCTCCAGCACAAACACCTGACATTGTCTTTTAGCAACCTGGTCCAGTGAACTGACACTTTGCTCTGGACTCATGTAGAGGGAATTGCTGAATGGACGCTCCATCATGCTGCCCGTCCTGAAAAACAGCATGCGTTAGCATCTAGCGGTAGTTAGCAAGTCACCAGTAAGATAAAACACTTTCCAAAATCATATTCTCAAAAAAAAAAAAAAAAAAAATTGGTTGTCACTCACAACATACTACCAGAGTGATTAGCCCTAAACGACTCATCACTAGTTTTCAGAAGGTAGAGTGTTACTGATTCACATTAGCCACTAGTGTTCGCCACTATCTGGCAGTGGCCGCTAACTGGGTCGACGCTAAATGAGCCATCACCTGTTTTGAAAAAGATGCTACATATTTGACTTGAAAACCTTCCCGTTAGTCACTGAAGTTAGCTTCTAAATGGCAGTAGCCGCTAACGACCACGCCGTTAACTCATTGAATACCACCCTTTTTCACTGGAGCAACCTCCTCAATCCCTCACATTTTACTGAATTTTGACTGATTTGCAAGGCCCACAGAATTTTCTGTTCTACGGCTATATAAACAAAACTGGTGTGATAGCACATTTTCGCATGATGAAAAAATTTGCCATTTAAAAAGGTTAGCTGCTAAGTCGTGTTAGCATCTTTGCGCGCACTTCTGTACCTGACATGTTGGGGTTTGGAAGGCGGCAGTTGGTGGGAGAAGCTCAGGGATCGTGCCACACTGCCGGAAGAGGGTGGCGTGCACGGCTTGGGCGACCGGTGCTCCTCGGGTGACGCCTTGAACTGAAGCTTCATTTTCATGTGCTGGCTTAACTGAAGTGTCGGGAATGCAGCAAAAGTAAAAAAAAAAAAGTTCACAATTTGCTATGCTCACTGAGCTTAAGTCTCAAGATTGAATAACGTCCCGATTTTAACTCCAAAGCTTTTTGGATAGAGATAATTATTCTTGATGTATTAAATATATATTTTAGGTTTATGTTAAAAAAAACAAAATCTTCAAATAGTACAATTATTTATATTCATGTACAACAAATGATGCAAGAAGTAAAATTCAATGTTGGAAAAACATCACTTGTACAAAAAAATCTGAATAAATAAAATGGAATTATTAATGTATGACAGTTGTTCACAATTGGCACTTTTATGGCCGTAAAAAATAAAATGAGATATTTTATTCATATCATTAAATGTTTAATATAAATAAAGAATAAAAATGACCATATTATAAAATGAAATCAAAGTATGAAATTATGTTAAAAATGATCACGTATGGACATTTTAAAATAAAAAGCCTTATTTTCAATAATTTTTTAAATATACTTGAGTCCACAATGAAATTATGGCTTGAAATTTGCAATGAGTTGCTATTATAAGATGCAGTGTCATTATTTGAGAAAGTAAGTCCACTAAAGAAGAAGAATTATTTTTAAATGAGCGTTTTTGGCTGCTGTAAAATGGGGAAAAAATTATTAGAATTAGCATGCTGAATTCTGAGAAGCATTTCAAAATCAAAACATGTTGTATATAAAAACTCAGTTATACAATACATAACAATAAACTTGACTGTCCAAAATGAGGTACGACTACAAAATAAAAAAAAGGATGAAACAGCTGACAATGCAAACGTTGTGCTATGCTGGCACCGTACCTCAAAAAGTCCCGTTCCAAGGATCTGGAAGGCGACGGTAAAAGACACGCTGGAGCCCTTCCTGCAACGTCCCAGGTTTCTGAAGGGAGACTGGCACACCACCGCTGTCACCTCGCCGTCCTGGTGGCCTCTTACTGCATTAGCTGGACAAGCGGATGACAGAATGGAAGCCAGATCCCGGCCGTTACGAGATGAAGCGACATTTTGAGAAAACTCACCCTGAAAATTCCAGTGCAGCCGGACGGACAGGACGTCGCGCAGGTTGTTGACCAGGGTGTACTTGACCGGGAAGCTCTCACGAGGCCTGACGGCGTTGGGGCAGGAAGCGGTCATCACCAGCCGAGGACGATTCAAGCGGATGCTGGGCAGTGAGTAAAAAGTGACGATGTGCCTGGGGTGAAAATGAAGGAACGTCAGCCGTGTCGCGAGCAGCGCTTGATAATGATGCGCTCACCTCGCGTGCGGGAGTGTTGACGTACGCCATTGTAACACAGCAACCAGTGGGACTTCCAAACCCTACGCACAAAATATACTCAGACACGTGTTGTGAATTTTGCTCTTCGGCTCCCTGTGAGAGAACAGCAACGTGAGCAAAAAGTAACATGAACTGAAACATTCAAAAGTTGGACTCAAAGCTTTATGCATAATACCGACCCAAAATATATATGTGACCACATTTCTTTTTCTCAAATTATTAGTCGCACTTTAAATCCTTTCATTTTCTCAAAAATCAACAGTGTGCCTTACAAGAGTGCACCTAAAAAATCTGGTGCACCATAGATATTAATTCTAATTGTTTTTAATGACCTCAAAACCGATTTGATGTGGTACATGGTGCTCAAAAATCTGTCAAACTGTTTTAGGATGCAATAAATCCACAGTTGTTTGTAACGAAGGGTGAAGACAGGATGTCGTCTTTCATTCTAATTCCTTCCTATTTATTTTCATTTTTGGCATTCTCATTGTCATCCGTAGCTTTAAAAGCCGGGGCCAGGCTTTGTGAATGATATGGATGCCAGCTAGTGAAATCGCAGCATATGCTGGCTGTTCACTGGCTAAACTGTGAGCCAGTTTACGTGTTGAGTTACTCAGCGCGTCAGTTGTGGCCGTCTGCGGCTTGTGAATTAATATGCTTATTAGGTGTTTACTCTAAAGTGATTAAAAGTGTAGCGATGGCTGCGTCTTTCTTTGTCCACCTGTAAGGGATTATAATTTGTTGGAACTATTTTTTGGAGTATGAAACAACCCCAAACTTTGGACAATCTGTCTTTGACACACTGTCTTCTTGGCTTCCGCTTATCTCTATGTGGAAAACCGGTGACCATAAAATGACGCCACATAGCGGCTGCCGGCTGTACACGGTAAGGATCATAGTAGTAGTGCCGCTGGCGCTTCAGCCTCTCACTTCACTGGAGTGGTGGTCGTCTGTGTCCTGGAGCTGTAGCCGGAACAGGAAGTTGTGCTCCTCCAGGGTGCCCAGTGTGCTCGGAAGACGTGACCATTCGCTGTCCACGCGGTAAAACGACGCCATGGTCACCTCAGCTGATTGGTGGCTTCGGTAGCGACAGAAACGTCAGATACAGAAAAAAAAAACACGTTTTGAACATTTCTATTTGCTTCAATACGGAGACGAGATGCACTTACCAGACATTGTCTACGATCAGAACAGAACCGTCCGGCATCATGGGAAGGTAGGACAAGTTGTAGTTGGGAAGGATCCTCACATCTGTGATGCAAAGCTCCTCCTGAGAGGCGCCATTCAGCACTGATGGCGAGAGGGGGCGTGGCCGTCAAAGCCGGGAGCCACATGATGCGACGCGCGGTTTGGGAACGCGCCTGACCTTTAAGGAACGTGAGGTGTTTTCCAGAGACGGTCAGCTGCTGACACCCGACACTGGGGGGCGGCAGAACATTCAAAGTGGCGCTGACTGGAGGAGGACGAGGAAGAGGAGGAGGCCACAGGTCAGAAGTTACAAATTACTTCTTAATAGTATTCGTGTAAAGCCCTAGTGCACAAATTTGTTTGCCCATTTGTGATGTCATGTCAGTATCTGATAGCTCATACTGTTGACGAGCCTCATTTGAATGTGCTTTGCGATGGAATAACTCAACGCTGAGTACACCGTTTATGTAACATGGATTCATGATTGCGTACATGCTAGCTGCATGGTGTTGATTATCATTTATATTTCCTGTACATAACTGAACTGCGGTGTATATTGTACTTAAATGATCCTCTACATTTAAAATGCATTTTGTATGCTACTCTTATTTTACAATTAGGTGAAATTTGGTACTTTCTGACAGCACAACCGAATGATGGGAGGTCGATATAGTTGGGTGTAGCAATACCCTGTGCCTTGAATTTGTTGAGGTCCTCTCGGAAAGTGCGTGCGGGCGAGCAAAGCTGCAGGAGACCAAGGTAGCCATGTTCCCTCACCTCCACCTGGTCTTCATCCCGCTCCCACACGCTCACCACAATCTGGTCAAAGCACAGCAGACAAAAAGATACGCCCAGTGTCTCGAAATAGTGGCCGTGCATAAAATTCGTCCAAAAAATTTTATTGGAGTTGAGCAGCAAGATTACAACTTAATCCCCATCACATTCCAACTGTGTTCTTGTATTGTTAACATATTAATGTTCGCAACTTTTTTCTTCAAATATTTCGTTCCTTGTCCAAAAACACATTTTGCTCATTATATCAAATATGATTTCTCAAGAATTCAGTTTGTTCCTCATTTACTGTGCATTTGTACTGTATAGTCTTGAAACAGTGCAACCTTCATCCACTCTCACTTACTCCCAATATGTTTTTGTTCTAAAAAAAAAAAAAAACAAACAAACGAAAAACGATTTTCTGATAATATGTATCATTTCTGGTAATTTTGGTAAATTTGGTGTTTACTCATACCTTTACGACATTTTTCCTCATAATATTGTGACTTCAATTTACATCCTATTGATCATAAATGAAAAGATGTTTACTTCCAAAAAATAATTCATTAATAGATGGGAATTGGAAAATACTGACCTTGGCTTGGAGTGTGTTGACCGGGAGCTTGTCGAGAGTAACTGTAAGACGGAAGGAAATCTGTTCTTCTGACAACTGAGTCGACTGCAGGACAAGCATGGCACAAGATGTCATCCTTGAATTTAAGTGCTGTACCATAATGCCTTAGCATGTGAGCAAGGAGAGCCACAGTGACCAGCGCACTTTCACTGTTTATCAAATGGGAGGAACAGGCAACTGAGAACACTTGCAAGGAGCAGCTATGAGCAAAGACTCACAGGTAGGCCACGCCCCATAAAGGTACACAGTCAACACAAATACTACTTTACTTACAGTAGTTACATTTTCTAAGTTCTATCGTTCAAGGGTGCCACCAAATGGAAGAAAATAGAACTTTTGGGGTGGGGGGGAGTTACCTTGACCGGTTCCATCCTATGACGTCCATTGTTGTGGTTCAGAATCGGGCAGCACTCTATGAACTTCCGGTTTGCGTTGGCACTTCTTCGGTGGTCCTCATAAGAAATGTCAGCCTGGTCCTCCTCCGCTTCTGTTTCTTCTTCTACGCTGTTATTCAAGTCTAGCCGACTGTCGCCGAGCTGAGCACCAACGGTCGCCACAGCGAACAAGTCTCCCATTGGCTTTGCCTTTAACAAACGACCTTTACGCAGCACTACAAGAAAATGGACAGTCTCCCCGAGGTAAAAGTGCGTTCTCTGCTCAAGAGCCTCGCAGTCCACCGGGTCCGCCGCTTCCCCCGCGGCGGGAAAATACACAGTGTGTTCAAACAGCGACTCCATGGCCAGCGAAAAAGTTGCGCTCACCAACCATATGTTGCCATGTAAACAAACAAGGGAATGAGGACGTTGTCAAAGGCGGACACACGACCAAGACGTGCGTCCCGAAAATGTCGCGCTGCATAGAAACAAAGCAAAAAGTCCACAGCGAGTTCGCATTTGATGGTAATTTGTAGATAAAAAAAACAGCAGAGTGGTTAATCGATACGGCTTTGGAGCGGCTGAAGTTTGTACGAGACCAAAGTAATCGATCGACGAGAGTAGACGAGCTGATTGCTCGACGCTGGTTATACCACTGTAGATCATAAAAATAAAACGGAAGATATATATACTTTTTTTTACAAATACAATATTGCACAAATTAGGTGTTGGTCATAGAGTAACAATTGGACAAAAAACAAGGACCTAAATTTTAAAATATTGTTTAAGCATTAGCATTTTACATTTTACTCTTCATATTACGTTTTTTTTCTTATAACATTTGTGTTACTTCATATGTCTCATGTAATATATGTGTGTGTGTGTGTGTATATATATATTTTTTTTCCTTGAAACGTTGCCCATTTACTGTGATCAAGGTATAATAAAAATAAGAACTACTACTACCGGTATATTGTCAAAACCTGTACACATTAACCAAACTAAAAATCACTTTTGTTGGTTCCTTATTGTTACTTTTTGGAGCGATATGTCCACGTAGCACAGAAAAAGCAAACTCCGATCTCTGGCGTCTGTCTGTGTGACTTTTTATTTCATGGACTTAAACACTGAAGTTATTGTCAACTTGAATATTCAGAGTCCGGTGACAAATTATCAATGGACGCATTGTTGGGTCCGGCAAACCATGCGGAGGTACAAAAAAAAGAGAGAGGTTGAGACAGAGAGAGAGAGAGAGAGAGAGAGAGACAGAGAGACGGAGAGAGAGAAAAGACAAGCATCACATGATCTGGCTTCTCTGCTGGCAAAGAATTCCTCAAACAGTGGCCACAGATGTTTATTTAGTGCAGAGTACTGGGTGCTTATTGGAGAGAAGGCCTTCATTCGTACCAAAGCATTTTAGAATATTTAACATCAGACTGTATAAATAAATACTCAACAATAAAATATGTCTACTTTCATAAATAATTAAAGAGGCTGATTATTTGTTCGTGGCATGAATTGAGGCACGGCGTTTAAAAACCAGGCGGCCGCTATTTGAGGAAATTTGGTATACATCTCTGGATAGGATTCCTAAAAATGAATTTAGTGGGCAATTGAACAAAATGCTTCATCTGCCTTATTGTTGTCACAATTTCCCAAATAAAAGCATCAAGTTTCTTCAAATAATCCCACAAAGGATGTAAATGTTCCAGTTGTTCGCCTTGCTTCACGGGTGCTACAGTCTTGCAGCCATTGTTGTGCAACACATGAAATACTTCATTCCACAAAGTACCTTTCAAAATAATACTCCAAGTACCTTTTCAAACATGTATAAATACACCAAGGTGACAGTAACGGGAATACAGCGGAACCATTTTCGTCCAACAAAAGTATTGGCCTGGCCTGCACCAGGACGAAAAGAGTCCAAAAATTACTCGGAAAAAGTTGACCATTTTGGGGAGAAAGCTGCAATATATTCCCAAATTAAAATATTTGCATGTGGTGAATTTTGTCTCGTAATATTGTTTCC